GTCGCCGGGATCGCTCGTGAAATATCATTGAGCGATCGTTATGAATATTAAAATATTGAAATGATTGAGTATCAAGAAGCAATCACTATCGTGGAAGATACGGTGAAGGCTGTGGCACACGGAAAAAACGTAAGCAGTGTGAGACTTGAGCAGTAAGAAAATTGCTCGATCATTATCGATTATTCTGGACTGTGAGGGGAATGATCGACGGTGGTTGGTCAATTTGCTTACTATTTATCGCTTATGTTTTTCAGTGTGTTGTGGATTTAACTGTCTCTTTCGGAGTCACATAAAATACTACTTTACTACACAGAAAAAAATAGTTTTTAGTCAGCGATAGGTATTCTCATATGTAAGTAAGAATATTGCAATCTTCTTGGAAGATTTTCAATCTTGAATTGAATGTAAGTAATACTTGCATCAATGCATATTCAATTAAATTAAGACTAAAAATCTTCTAAGAAGATAACGTTCTTGCTTATATATGAAAGTATCTATCATTGATTTAAAACTAATTTTTTCCGCGTACGTTCACTTGCTTCCAACGTTTCATGAACATCTGACACTATATCAAGTATCAGATTGTCTCTCTCTCTCTCTCTCTCTCTTGATGAAATGAACTGAACTGTTCACGATGTGAACGAAACGTTGGAACCAGCCCAACAAAAAACGAAGCTTCAGTCCAAAAGCTGAACGAAAAATTATTCCACATCGCGAAAACCTAAAAAAATTAATTACGTCACCTGTCTTCTTTTTTTTCCCAGCAACCTCGACTCGGGATGGATTTAAACGAGTTCGTAATTCGCCGCGCACGACAGGTTCCTGATTTCGATCACGACGATATTTCATCGTTGCAGACCGTTTAACATTAATTGGAACAACCTTCGCACTATCACCGCCATCAAGAACACTCGGTGATTAGATCGAGTGTAGTGAGTTGAGCTTTCGGGCCCCGTGATTTCTCATTGCACCGAGTTCCACTCGGCATTTTACGCCGATTAAATGGAGCGATGTATCTCGCGAGCAGTTCGAGTAGTCTTGTTTCGAAATCTGATTTGAAACGTTGCTGCACGTTGTTCCGTCGTGTGTGTCCTTGCGAGAACGTCGAACCATAAAATAAAAAATAAATCAATCAATCATTCGAAATATTAGCGAGTGTCAGTGAGCGACCTTGCGGTAACGATAAATAATCGTAACTGTTGTCATTAATTTAGCTCGGTGTATTATTTCGAAATATATTATCGTCAAACGCGTTACCAGAGATTTTAGTACACAGACCTTTAATTCTTAATCTTGATGTAATCTTGAGAGCATGTTATAGAAATCACTTGAGACTTATCGATTACTCGAAAATGTTATCGTTAATTTTAAAAAACTTACTAACACGCGGTACTGCCGAGATTTTAGTTTACTAATAGTATCCATAACTACACTGACGAAATAGAATCGAGTAAATAAAATTAAGTCTCCGGATTACGCGAAATTCTGTTGCCAGGAAGTAAACTGCGATCGGGAGAAAATAAGTAAGTAATTCCAGTCGGACCAATAATCCGACGTGAGAATTTCAACTACAAAATTTAATCAACGGTAAAGGCTCCGAAAGAAACCGAAACATAGTTGTACGTATGACGCAACAGACGTTCTTTCAACTACCAAGAGCATGATTTAACTACATAATGCGAGTAATTCTTCCACTGGCTGGAAGGTTAAGTAAATCAGACGATGAGTACGACTAATAATGCGTTGGATCCGCTTTATGATCGTCTCGTGGAGCGGAATTTTAAGTTTATTTTGTGTCCTACGCAAACGAGATATATCAAAAGAATACCAAAATTTTGCCAAAACTCGAGTCAAAATTTTGACCCTACATTGAGTCGACTTAATTTTACATTAAGTCCTCAAATGGAGAAAACGGAAGTAACTTCCCATTTATAACATCAAAGGGAGTACAAGACCTTCGGGGATTTAATGTAGAACGAAAATTTCGACTCGGGAAGTATCAGATTCATTTAGTTCGTATAGGACTCTGAAATCGAGTATGTTTAACTCGATTCGAATTATTCCGACGAATCTTTTCTTTTTTTATAATGTTTCTCATAATGTAATAATAAAATTTTCGGACGATTTGGTGTGGAAAAAGAACGTCTATTATTAATAATGAGATGGATTCGATCGGAAGCAGCGACGATTCACGCTTAAGTATACACGATCGAGACTACATGAGTCACGAACATCCTCCTGTCTCTCACGGCTAGCACCTCTACATATATAGAGTGATCGGGCGATCCTTTTTCCGCGGTTGCGTAACGAGGTTCAACGTCACACGCGTTATGTATCGTCGCTAAGAGCGGCTAAATGACAGCGAGACTTTTCGAGGTGCGCAAGTGCAGGGTAATCGCAATTCTGTTAACTCACTTTCGCCGCGTTACTTTCGCCAAAGAGACAAGCGAGTGGAAGACGGCGTACGCCGTTATCGCCGGTTTCGATTCACTCACGTTCAAGAGTTACCGACTACATGCTGAAGCTGTGAACTTGTTTCTTTCTCTTTTGTTTTGGATACACTCTGTGGAAAATTCGAAGGTCGGAATTGTCAACAGAGAGCTCTGACTTTATGTACTTGATTCTTAGTCCAAATCTACAATAGGTGCATCGAGAAGAAATAATCTTAAATCAACAATCGATATTCTTATATATAAACAAGAAATGATTTATTTATTTATTCATACGGAAAGTATCTCTTTAATACTATGATATTTTTTATATTATAATATTCGATATATTATAATATTCTTAGAAGATTTTTAGTCTTTGAGTGCAAGTAATATTTGCATCGATACAAATTCGATCAAATCAAGATTAAAGATCTTCTAAAATTATAATTTTCTTTCTTATATATGAGAATATCTGTTATTTATTTAAGATTAATTTTTTCTCGTGTGTATTAAGCCTTCAGCCTTTTGCGCTAAGCACTAAATTGTAACGTAATTTCTAATAAATACATTTCAGCGCTATCGAGTGTCGCAATTCCCAAGATTTTTGCGTTATTGTAAGTTTTATCAGCGGGAAATACTTTTTACAATAGATTACACTACACTTTATTGCTTACAGCAAGAGTAAAGTCTAAAGGCTTACTACACTATCTACAGATCCGGACTTATCGGACGTCGTCGACAAAAGACGTAAAAGGTGCAAAACACAAAACCTTTAAATTTTAACACCACATGCCCGGAGTTTCCGAGAAGTCAGTCTCCTGGGAGATGCGAAATCGAACTCGATTGTGCGAAATATGCTTCGACGCCGAGTAGAATCTGCAGGCCGCCCGGGAAGAATTCCGAAGAATCGCGAAATTGATTTAACTGCCCCGATTAAGGGCAACGACGTGGCCGGTAATTAATACGACACGTCGCACGAACGACTAAAGCCGGGCTTCGGAGGAGCGGCGGTTTGTGCGCGAACAGTCACAATCTCGCGATAAAAGGGATAAAACGATATATACCAGATAAAACGAGGGCTCTCACATGAATTTCGCGCTGATCGATCGGACGGATTTTTCACGGCGATCGCGACGATCGGAAGTGAGGATCAAAAGATTACCACACAGGCGGTTTTAATTAAGCGCAGACGCGAAAAAGCGCGTCTTTCCCGATCGTCGATTTCGCTTATCCGACGCGCTTCTCCGTACGCTTATCAGTCGCTATCAATCAAAATCGCTATCGCGCCCGATCGACCGGAGATCGCGATCGTCCCTCGTTCTCCCTCGGGACGGGCGCTGGGCCGCGAGAACGCGCGGAAAACCTTAGTACGTCGCGAAACCACGACGGTAATTGCCGCGGTTTTGCAAAAGTGCCCTCACTCGTTTCACTTCGCGTTTCGCAACCGATGGTGCTTCGCGCAGTACAAGTGCGTGCAAGTCGTGTCGTCGCGCATTATGCGTGAAGAGCGCAGGTAATTTTCTTTCCTTCCCTTCTTCTTTTTTTTTCCTTCCAACTTCGCTTCCCCTTTTCGTCCCCTTTTCGTTCTCGCCCCCCCCGTTTGTTCATACATTCGCCGATAGTTTCGCGACGGAGAGGTGAGCTCGCGCGCAGGTTCACACACTAATTCACACGCGCCGTCAACGTTTGCATGGGCGCACCTGCTGCGCCTCGTTCCACTCTCCTAATCACGGACTAGATAAACTGGCGGCGCACAAAAATTCCTATCGCGCGAGCGCGCGGCACTTTGCATTTCTACACCGACTCTCCCCGGTTAGCGCAAAGGCGCACCGCTGATGGATTACGTAGAATCCTGACCGGGTGGTTTTTTTTTCTCAACCGGCCGCTCGTCATCGATCTCAAGCGCTACTGTGACTTATAGGTTTCTTCGTTTTATACCTGAATTAGATTGCACTTTTCGGCTTTAGAATGAGGCGAGCGTATTATCTAGCGAAGGGAAAAGGAACGGGTGCAGCAGTGGTTCGGTAGAAACGAAGTGGCCTTGTGACTTTTATCGGACACGCAGATAAACGTAGGATGTCTCCCCGAGCGAACGCGAATAATCCGTTCAATAGCTTTCCTTAAGCGCGCAAAATCCGACCTTGTCCATCCGAAAGAGGCCGAGCTGTTGCTCGGGAAGAAACGAGAGCTTCAACAGACTCGTCACTCGAAACTATCGATCACCCGAAGGGACGTGATTCGGGATCCGACGTCCGACAGCAATTATTTACTCACGAGTATTCAATTATTTACCTACGAGGTTGCTCGGTTCAGCCGGAGACCGCGCGTCGGCTCGCTCTCAACCGTTTGGCCCGGCTGATCCGAACGTCGACGGTAACGTTACACGGGACAATGCGTGTTATCAGTTCACATCTGGCAAGGAAACGATCTGACGCGCGTATTTCGTGCGGAGGTGCGCTTAACCCGGTGCAATCGCCGGCGCTATGAGTGCCTCGCGCGCGTCGACCGACCGGAACGGACGGGTGAGAGAGAAAGAGAGAGACGAGTTAAAAGGGCGGATTTACTTACCACCGTTTCTCGGCGAGCGAAGCCAGCCGCGGGGCGAAACACGACGCGCGGCACAAAATCCGACATGCAACTGCTGCCGCGTTCGCCGCGGCGCCGCTTCGGAGCGAGCGAGCGAACGGGCTCGGCGATCCACGGCCGTTTCCGCCGATGCCACGCGGCAAACGGCGACGATCTTACAAGCGCACGTAGATCGTGCGCTGCCGTCGCCCGGCTTCAAACCGCGACGGTGCTCGCCTCTGAAACAGACACAGGGACGCGTTGAAAACCGAACGACTTTCCGCACGGGAGGAGAACTCAGTTCGCGCTGAATGCGTGGACCAGGAAACTCGGTAACGAGAGATACAAATTCGGAGGCGAGAAATGATACCACCCCCTCCCCGTTACCGCGGCCGAAAACAACTCGTGCATGCACTCCAGCTGCGTTAAAACGCGGCTGGGGCAACTGAGCGCGATTGACTGAAATAGAAACCTCCTACTGGAATTATTCCCTTCCTACAACCGAATTCTTCTCCGATTATCGGATAACGAGATACGACGGCGATTTAAATGTGTACTCGAAAGATCGAGACATTTGAATGAGCCTAATGAAAGATAAGGTGTCTTAAAAGCCAACCTAAAAAAAGTCTCTTGAATGTATTGAACCTTTCTGCCGATGTTTTATCTTCCACCTTTTTCCATCTATGCGCCGGGCGCCCAGGTATCTCGGCGCTCATGACGCTGACGTGAGAACGACGTTATAGCAGCTGTTATACCTCGGACATTCTTTTCTATCTAAACAGTCTTCGAACAAAGGTCCTTGATGTACCTGTTTCGCGCCGATGAGATACGTTTGCCGACTCGCGTGTCATTCGAAATGAGGTATCCGGACACCTGTGCATCGGCAGAAGGCTTAAGACACCTTTCAAAAGTTTGTACTGTTCGGCTTCGGATCCAATCTCGTAAATGTCGAAAATACGTCTCAGGGGCATCTGAAATATATGAAAAACAAGTAAGTCTCTCAAGCATTCAAGACGAGCCTTTCATTCACGTTAGTTGTTATACTTCAGTCATTTAAAACGGCTCTTAGACCGTTCCTCTGTCGCTGGCAGACGCCATATTCGTGACTCGCAAGGCCGCAACGGTTGAAATTCGAAGGGAGCCTGGCAAATTGCGGACTCCTGCGTTATTCCTGCGCCGTCACCCGTTGCGAAACGACGTGCCGCTCCGCCAATCACGATGCTGACGGAAGAGGAGAATCGAGAGATTCGAATGGGACGAGGCGACAAGAACGACGCGACAGTGACATCCGCGATCCGTTGAGAAGGTTGCGGTTCGAATTTGAAAAGCGGACCCCACAAATCACGTCGCATGCGCCGACGTTACCGTTGCCGGTGACGCGGAGACGACGGTGAAACCGTCGAGACAGAGGGAACACAGGGCGCGCGCGAGGACAAAGCCGGCCTGTAATTTGCCAGCTTGGATCGTTCATATTCAATGCGCGGGCCTTGCAATTTGCGGACTCGACGCGCTGAACCCTTCAATTGACCGCGTTCATTTCATCGATAACCGACTCCGGTGACAATGAGAAGTAACGAATGACGAATAATGATGGGAAAGAAGGAACGAAGGCGGTGGAAATGGCGTTGAACGGCGATTAGGGGAGGGGGAAGGGCGGCAAGGAAACGGCCACGTTACTCTGTTTGAATTACCTGGCCGGCGCAAGCCGATGAAATTCCAGCTGGAATTCTCGTCCTCGCCGACGGTGCGATTCGTCGATCCCGCTTGCCCGCTGCTTGTGTGCGGTCGTACGAAAATCGGAGAAATAAAGCTCCGTCGCATCGTTCATCGTCGAGACGCAGTACGGTTGAAAGTAAAATATCCGCTCGACCGCCGTCGAATCGTAAATACACACATCGCGAGCTCGATTTGAACAACGACGGTGGCGACTCGTAACGGAGACTCCGGAACTGCAGGTCGGAGTGTTCAAAACGCGACTTAACGGGCTGGCTGGCGCCATCTCGCGGTGTCGCGGTAATACCTGTTACGGCGGATTTGAATCTCGACCGAGCAAGAGTTTCGATCCTCGGCCACGTGTAACCGTCACTTTGGCCAGTTTGCCGTCTTCGTTGCGCCTCGACGGCAGGTCAGGGTAGCCTTCATCTTCCTGTTTCCCGCAGCAGTAGGATCATCGCGAATGCTTCTCGGATGCTCGATCGAACGGTATCTTCAGCGGCGCGTTCAAAGTACAAGCGTGCAGGGAGCTGCTGCTGATACGATATTCAGCCGTTGATAATAATACAGGTTCTTTGTAGGGCGGTGTCAGCCATTCATGCTTCAGCATTACCGACGAGGAGATTACTTCGGACGTTGCTTCCCCCCCGTCTTTTTTTCAATATACCGCGCGTATTAGACGGGAGTAATAATAGGAAGTCGAGTTGGATCGCGAGTACCAGCTTATCTTCCCCGCCACCACTCGTGAATCGTCCCGGAATCGATTTCCCCGATGTCGATTGCCTTTAATCGCGTGTCATCGCCGTCCACGGTCAATTAAACCACGATTGAAGCTAATTGCCTCGGAGAAATCGGCCCTTCGAGTGGACGCACGAATTATCAACGATCGTTCCCGCCGAGCCCCGTCGAGATCGAAGTCAGGAGTCGTTCACGATCAGGATCGACCCGGCGTCACCGAGAGTTCGGCGTACGAGATAGTATGCGGGTGAGTAAACCGAAACACACGTAAATATAATCGTTGGAATTCCTGTTTACGGGAATTTCCATATCGCGCCAGAGGTCGCGATCATTATCGTTGCTTGAGTCATTGCTCTGGAAATCACTTTGTGACTTCAAGCTCCGCTTTCCCTCGTAAACATCACGCGTGATTTCGATAATGCACTCTACGACGTTTGTCGAACGACGAGAGAGATACAAACAATAATGCGGACGCAAGTCGGTTATTCCTTGTCGCCCGATAGCGCGCGGCTCGCTTCTCGCGAAAATAGATTGCAGCTGCGCGCTTGCAAATAGCGTTATTCGACCTGAAGTATGTTTGCGCGCGTCTCTCATCGGAAAAACGACGATTTTTCATTTCCGTCGCGATTTCCGCAAATGCGCGACGCTTCGCGCGACCCGTCGCGAACGTGCGTGCGCGCGCGCGCGTCGTATCACGCGTTGCGTGCATTCGCGTTGCGATGCACCTGCCTCACGTGATGTTTGTCAAACACGGAAGCATCTTTTACCCTCAGAAGCTTCCGCAAGAAAGTAACGACAAACGCCGAAAAGAACGTCTCATTATTCCGCAGTTATCGATATTAATCCGTTTTGTTCCTTTGTTGCTGTATAGGAACATCAAATTTACCTATCTTCAACATTATTTTTGTCTATGATAAAGGTAGATTCTAATTTCGATCTTGTTGTTGAAATATAGTTTGGACTTTTATCTTTCAGAAAATAATTTCCACCACCCATCACCCCCCCCCCTCTTTTCGGCGATAGGTGGGATTGAAAATAACTTTACAAAACACATATTTTTAATTTATTACCTCACCTTCTTAATTAACTAAAAATAGTAACAAATAAAAAATTGACGAAACAATGATGAGGTGTTGTTGCCAAAAGTTCAAATCGTCGAAAATGACGATTCTCATTATGATTTACTAGCTGTACACGCAAACGGCACTCAAGGTAGATGTCCCGACTATTTTCTGGGGAAAACGGCCGGTCGGAAAATTCTGATTTCAGATTATTTGAGTTCCTTGAGTCCCAGTTATTCTAAAACGGCACTCGGATCTTACGGATCTCAATATTTTTTGCAACCCGGCCCGAAATGAGTTATTATCGATGATAATAATAGTTTACCTAATAATTTGGCAATTGCTCCGATTCTTCTCTTTTCCAAATATCCATGATAACATGATGAATGGAAGAATATCGAATATATAGAGGGTTGATTGTATAATTATGTAATTACGTGATTAATCTTTATTGCGTCTGAGGAAGAAGAGAAGGGAATAATTCCGTCTAATAATTCGATATCAAACGCTGCAGTCGCGAATATAATAATGCGAGGATCAGCCGAGATTAAACCGCGATAAGTTTCCCGTCGATAACTGCAATCTGGGTATATGGGTGAGAAAAATATGCCTTACTGCCCGTAATCGCTGTTTTCCATATCTATCTACGAGATATTAATATTTAACAAGAAATATCAAACTCCTATCTGGTTATCTCTAATATAATCTGACTGCTGTAAATATCACGAGAGTGACACCAGAGACTGTATACCTAACTGTACATATGTTGTACGTAATATTGCCGAGCAAATAATATAATCTCGTGGAAAGAAAAGAGAAAATCGCTGGTGATTAGATAATATCGAGTCGAAGGGACTTCAAAAGATCGGTAATCCTGATACGGCTGGATTCAGGGTCGCGAAATGAGACGGAGGAACGAGGAATCTGCGTATTTTCGTTGATTCTTGCGACCTCTTCGCATAATTACGACGTGTGAGCGACGTATTCACTTTTGCAAAAGAGAAGAAAAGAAAGACAGAAAAACAGACGATAGAAATGGCGAGCGCTACGTGTAAGCGGGGATCCTCCTTTGAAATCTAAATATAGACGATGACACTTTTAATAACGCCTGTAACTGAAATTACTGCGACTGTAAACGTTCGTCTAACAAGCGTGAAATGTATGCGGCTTTCTCGAGCGTCGCCGTTACGCGAATCCGCTTTTGCGACGTTTTTATTGCGAGCAGATGCGAAGATCCCGACCTGATGAATCGGCCTCGTTATTGGGACACCTGGTCAATCAAATTTACGGAAGGAACCGCGGAATGACTGTGAATAATATCGTATTTGTTACACGCTTTTTTCGACGTCACGTATACACACGCACACACACATGTACAAATCCAGGCACGCGCGTGTCGGAGAACAGGATGAGGATTGCTTTATGTGCGTTTACACGAATATTATCGGCAGATGTTACCTTCCGAGTGGTTACGTCAGATATTCAAATCCGAAGTAATTACGTTCGGCGAAGAATGGGAAATAACTACGTAGATTAAACCTGTGGGAAGGAGTGAGAGAGATTAATTCAGAACGTTGGGAAAAGATAACTAACAGAATAAACAAGAAATAGCGAATTGGAAAGAATAGATCGGTGGAAATTCGTTTTACGGGTTTTGAAAATCATTTGAAATTGAAACCGATTCTTAATCCGAGAAGTTTTTGTGATTTGACTATTTACGATCGTAAACATAGATTTCTTGTTAGTTCTCACTTTACGACGATGGATGCAGTTTTTTTTTTCCCGCAGAAATGTTGAGCGTCAGCAAAGAGAAACGAGATGACGTCGAGAAATTCCGTAATAAGGAATTCACCGCGCGGAAGTACGAAACGTTAGTGGAATTAAAACGGGAATATAAAGGAAGATAATAACGAGAAAACAGGAAACAATTTGTGTCGCTCCGACTTGGAATACCTTCGCGATACTGGGAAAATAATAACGATTTATGATCGCGATAACGTGTCAATGCAGCTGTTATTTTTTCAGTAACAACTCGATGCCTCTCGATGTCCCTCGGCGTTTCTAAGAATAGAAAACTGTGGTAAAATCGAGGAAAAATACATCAAAATAATCAGCGAGTTCGAGCTCGCACAGTATTTAACTTGATTTAATTAACACGCGCAAGCGTCTGCATTAATTAAAGCGCGCGCTCGTATTCAAACAAATGTCTCTCGAAGGGACTCGCTTCTTGTCACACGAAGGTTCCGTGGTTTCTATTCTAGACGTATGTCGAACGTTAAATATGTCAGTTTTATTTTCAAGTTAAAACAACGTTACATATGACGCTCGTACAAGAAAAACCGATTTTGGAATCAAGAGGATACATTCAGCGTCTGCTATGCGTTCGAAATAAGATACCTTATTTAGGGCTATATTCGGGGAAACAGGTCTTCACAATACAACCTTCCCTATTCATTCTCGAATTCCATCGACCAAGATTCGACGTAGATACAGAAAAATCCTGCCATTGACGTAGGTGCCGGGGAGTTTCTCTTTTCTGTCGAATTCACGGAATAGACGATAATTCGCCGGAGGGCCTAAGATAGGTATAATCACATGCGGCGATACCGCACGCGATGCCATTTAACATTCCGGCCGATTATTCGATTGTCGTTAACTGCATTCCAAATACTACATTCCGATTATTCGATCGTTGTTAACTGCATTCCTGGCGTGGATTCTCCGTTGCGTCTGCCTCTCTCTCTCTCTCTCTGTCTTCCCCTCTGTCTCTGTCCTTCTCTCTCCAACTCTGCCGTTGTCCCCGTGTTACGCACGAAACACGCGACGTGGGGTGAATCCTCACGGTTTTGTTCGATCAGTCGAGGTGCTTTCCCCACCGAGGGAATCCTGCGCCCGCCGGATAGGTACTAAACCCTACTCCCCGCTACTCCACCGTCTCTCCCTCCCCCCGCCCCGGTACTATCGGCCGTAGCTCTACCTGAAGCTCTTCACTCTTGGTTGGCGCATTCTATCCGGCTGGTGGTCTCGTCTTCTGGGTCCTTCATTTAAAAAGGTGCCGCCACGTCTTCGGCGTCATTTCGCGCTCGACGGCCGTTGCACAACGTCGGTAACCATCAATCTCTCTGTCGGAATATCTTTTCCAACGTAAAGCCGGTAGAAAGTCGCGCGAGCAGCCGTAAATCAGTAGGGGTGAAGCGCTAGTTTACGATTAGTGCTTGTCGATCCCCGACGATCGTTAGCCCGGCAGTCGAGTCGAATCGTGTCGAGTCGTGTCGAGTCGTGCCGAGCGGGGTGCTCTTCACGAAGAAACGTGTTGTCTTCCGAAGAATCTCGGTCAGCGAGC